ACTTCCTTTGAAAAACTTCTCACCCAAGTACCACAAAGCAGTAAAGCCTATAATAATTGCACCCTCGCTCTCTTCTGACTTGGTTTAAGAAGAGTAAACCAATAAAATATAAACCTTCTCTCTCCATCTTCCCTCTCACGCCATTGTCAGTCTTACAGGAAATAAGCCAACCAAGAGTCGCCTCTCTTACTGGACAGGAGCTAGTGAGTGCAGGGAGGGAAATAAGCCGGTTGCGGAGCTGGGCTGCAATTTTACTACAAAATGTATTCAACCTGATTTAATCTGATGATTTCCCTGTGAGAACAAGCCAGTTAGCGCGTAACTAACACAATTCAACCAAGAAGAATCATCTCACCCTTACCCATTATATACCCCCTCTTGGGAACAATAGGAGAGGTCTTGAAAATAGCCTATTCTTGACCCCAGGTGGGAGAATTAGGGAATCATTTTTTACGTCAATTCTTTCATTCCATTGATTTATGTGCAACACTAAAAAAGTAAATAGCTTTCTTAAAGAGAAAGTTGTGGTTAGTAATGTTTAATCTAGTCAAAGCATGAAGATGAGGCGGGGAGATCTGTAGCAAGCTATCCCTAAATTAGCCACTATTCCAAACGTTTTTAGGCAATCCATTCACGATAGTAAGGAGACTGATAAATACATATAAAAATTTCTCCATAAACCCCAGAAAGAAAGATTCAGTCATAACGATAATAAAACATTACAAGTCAAGGAATAAATTTGGTTATCTTAAAACAACAGAGCTTTACCGACAAAGACATTTAGAAATGGAAAGAAGTGATATGTTCTTAAATAATGGAATTACCAAATGTACTTATTAAGAGGTTTTATTCTTTGCAAATCAATGTATAACTTAATTCTATTACAGATCTAAAATAATAATTATGCACAATAAATAGCAGAATTCACCTTCCCTTCTTTCTTTAAGAAACATCTGCTGATGATCAGCTGTGTGGAAAGTTGGTGCTACGCACTGCACACGCAGTAATGAACAAAACACACAACTCTGCCTTCCAAATTCTGTGAGTGAGTAAATCTTAACAGATATTTACATGCTTTTTAAAGAGAATGGATTTGTGAGTTTAACCTAGAGCTCACATTCTCAAATCACTTCCAATTCTAATTTCCCTGAAACACACAAAAATTATACACCTTAATTAGACACTAAATGTGTCACCATATCATATTTTCTCAACAACAAAGTTGTCAAAGTACATTAAAAGGGTTGTCAAGTTTTGCCACAAATTTAGAGGAACAAAATTAATATAAACTATAATTTATTAAATCTCCTGCAGACTTATTAAAAAGCAGGTGTGTGAGAAGATGATGGAGTGGGAAATGCTCAATTCAAGATATAATATTAAATGGAAAAATCATGATCTTAATTATAATAAGAACTTATAAAAAGAAGGGACTGGAAATTAGCAATATTATCTCATTATAAAATTAGCAATTTCATATTTTTTGTATTTGACATATTTTCCTATATTTGGTATGCAGTATTGCATAATCAGAAAAATAATCAATGTTCTTTACAAAACACAGAATTTAAAAGCCCATTCATAATAAAGATTGTGATATTGATACCAAGGGGTTATTTATAGAAGAGGAGTCTGAATAGCACATGTAAAGTCAATTTTACAATTTCAAAATAAAATATTACCAACTCCCTTCAAGAAGACAGTTAGCAACAGTCATCCAACAAAATGGTTAACACTTTCTGGGTCATCTTGAACCTAATCTTTTTATTCGATGCTTTTCATGCCTAATCCATTGGTTTCCACTTGCAAGACCACAATATAACAAACACTACACTTGAAGGTCTGTGCAAAGGAAGGCGGCTGCCCGAGTAGCAGGTTTGAGTACAGCTAGCAGGTGCCTGGGAAGCAATGTGCACTTGCTGCACAGAAGTAGACAGCTGCGTCTCCAGGCTGGGCGGCTGTGATGTGCAGGGACAGATGTTTGGCCGTCTTATTCAG